CAAAATGTCCAATCATGTACAGGATATTGATTACAGTATCTTCTTCAGTCTCAGATTCAGTGTATCCAAAAATTCCCTCAAATATCCACATAAACCATTGTCAAATCTATTCATAGCGTTTTTTTAATACTTCTCTGAACAACACACGATCTACCCATGTACCCAGTCAACTGTCAGTCTACCATTCAAGCAAGAACCAGCCTCCCAACTGTTCCCTGAATCTGCCTCCATCCTCACCCGCTCTGCACTGTTTCAGACTCCATCACTTGCAGCCTGGATCCTTACAATGGCTTCAGACCTGTTCACCCTGCCTTGAATGTTGTGTCCCATCAAATACATCCTTCATGTTGCCATCAGAGAGTTCTATCTGAATTGCAGATATTTTGGTGCCACTTCCTCAAGCCCCTGCTTAAAATTTTAGTTCAAAGCCTTTTGGGCAGGGGGGCAAATCTTTTAAAACTAGAATCTTGCTTAATTCTCCATCCCCATCCTCAAGTACTCATGGCCTGCAAATCTAAACGTTCCGTACTGGCCTCTCAGTCAGAAATGCATCCATACTGTTTTCCTCATCAGCTCCAATCCCAGTTTATCTGCCCCTAAACCCAATGCCTCCCTTTCTCTGGGCTATCATAGCATCCTGTAGACCACTCCATCAGAACAGATGTTTGGAATACTCAGTTTATATTCCCTTCTCCTTAACTAATCAGTCCCAAAGAGCATGAATCTGTATATTCCATTTGAATTCTCAGTGTTTATAAGGCATCTGGTATATAGTAGATGCTATCTATACTGGGACCTTGTTCCTGCTAACTTCTTTCCACTCTACCCTCAAACATTAATAAAAAGCAAACAAACAAAAACCTGTCCTTTATCTCACTTACTGTGAAACTTAAGTAAGCAATCTTTTTCATTTGCTTTTTTTTGTTTGTTTTGTTTTAACTTTAGATTCTTGGATCTGGCTATTTGGTGGAATTAGAAACCATTAGTTCACCCCTGACCTCTTGCCAAATCCTATGGCTTTTCACAGTTCCTTACTCGCCTTGCAGCTTTTGACTGCCGTCCATTTTCACCTTAAACTACCTTCTTCAGTTTCACACCGTTGCCCTGGAAGAATTGTTTTCAATCCTTCTTGCCTTGAGTCATTTTACTTACCCACCATCAATGTAAATACATTTTATTTCTACAATTTATGCCTCAGCAACAAATCTTATCCAGTGCAAGCCCCCTGTAGAAGCAAAAATGTCTTCAAATTTAATGTCATTGTAGGTTAATTAAGATGCAAATTTATCCCCTAATCTCCTCGGTCTGGTATAGACCAGTAAAGACTAAACCAGCCTTTTCTTTCATCACTTCAAACTTCAGTACTAATCCACCTTTTTCTTGGTCATACCAGAAGAGGTTTGTGTTTTTTTTTAAATCACTGTTGTTTATTAATTAGCAAGTGGTTTTCAAGCATCTTTGTCCTCCCCTTTCTAATTCCCCACTTCCTTCTAAAAACACATTTTGGGTGTGGCAGGTGTGGCTCACTTAGTTGGAGTGTAGTCTTGTACACCTCAAAAAGGTTGGGGATTTGATTCTGGTCAGGGCACGTAATTAGGCTGTGGGTTTGATCCCCCAGTCGGGGTGCATATGGGAGGCAACCAATGGATGTTTCTCTCTCAGGCTGATGTTTCTCCTCTTTCCTTTCCCCTCTCTCTAAAATCAATTAAAAATTTCAAATACATTTCCAAGAGTCCCTAGGGGAGGGTGGGTGGAGAAGGAAGCCAATATGTGGGGCTGTGCCCTTGTAGCTCACTTAGCTCCAACTTAATTTTAAACTGATTTAAGAATCTCTGAGTAAATACATACATATATGTAGGTCCCCAAATATATATACGTAAAAGGTGAGAAGGTTCTGTCTCACCTTTTTAAAGGTCCATTATATTCTCTTGAGAAAGCATGGGTGGGTGAGGGGGTCAAACCTGTTCCTTAAAATGTCAGTACTCTGAGGGTACCCTACCTCAGTAGCGGCAATGGTACTGCAGGGGAAGTTGTGCAAGGAGTCTCCCTTGTCTGTGACCATGGACAAGCCATGGAACCCTTGGTTTCATTTCCTGTAAAATTGGGAGTAACCTTACTGGGTGATTGAAAGAGTAAATTTAATAATGTAAGTAAAAGTACTAAGAAATAACAATGCTGGTTTATTTAAACCGAGATGCGGAGCAGCTGGGATGCCCACCTGTGGAAGGTTTTGTTTGTTTGTTTGTTTGTTTAGTTTTTTCGTTTTTTTAAGACTTTATTTTTAGGGAGAGGGTAAGGGAGAAAAACATTGATCTGCTGCCTCTCCCACGCGCCCCAACTGAGACCTGGCCCGCAACCCCTGCTTGTATCCTGACCGGGAATCCAACGACCTTTTTGCTTTGCCGGTGGACGCTCAACCGAACGAGCCAGGCCGGTCAGACCCCAGCTGGGCTATCATCCTCTTCTAGCTCAGGATCGCCTCTCAGAAAGCCTGAGTCGAGGGCTCGTCTCCACGGCAACCGCTCCGCTATCCCCGGCCCCGCCCCCCCAATCCGTTGGGAGGACCGGAAGCAGCCTCCAGCTCCGCGCTGCCTTGGCTTCTCCCCGATGTCGTGGGTCGTCCTTCCCGGCCCGAGGTGAGAGGGAAGGCCTCTCCGCCGCTAGGCCGCCAGGAGAAGCGTCCGTCACCCACTTGGGGGCAGCCCTCCCCTTCCACCGCGCACCGCCTTTTCATACCCCTCCCCATCCCCCACTCCCATCACGCCCCCAGCACTTCTCGCCGTCCCCACCGGGTCCCTGCGTCTCCCTGCCTCTCAAGGCACGTCCGCGTACCCCCTCCCCTGGTCCTCGCCCGCGGCGCCTGCCCCCTCGGGTGAACCCAGAGGCATCCTGGCCCCCCAGCGCGCGCTCCCCTGGTGCCCCGCGCCTCCGGCGGTCTCGTGGAGTTTGGTCCTTGCGGGGTTGGGGAGCTGTGGGGCTGTGGGACCGGGCGGGATGGGGTAGGGAGGTACTGTCTTGGGTCCTTAGGTAGCCGGCCCACCGGAGGAGGGATTTGGAAGTGACAGTCGGTCTTTTCCGCGGAGACCCCGGATCCCGGGCACTGGGCGAAGTCTCCCTTTCAGGGACCGGGTTCGTTCCAGGGCCTCTTGCGGTGCTTGGGGTGTGGTTCCCCCGTCCCTTGTGTAAATCTGAGCGCAGCTGTGGACACGGCACAGGTTCGCCGGCGGCTGTCTCTCCTGCGACTTCCAGAGGCTGCGGTAGCTTAGGGGCCCTCAATGTAACACCCCAGAAGACACCAAATTCTTGGCCTCCGGTCTCCACTCCAGATGCTTTTCCGGCCCAGGATCATCTAGGTCTACTGCTCCTCCTCGGAGCCTCTTGACCCCGCAGCACAGTGAATAAATGCGGATGGCCGGGGTTTCGACCCCAGGCCTGCCCTGTTGCCCACGATACCTGAGCTTGCCGTGGCAAGTTTCTTATCTATAACATGGGGATGAAAATATCCTTACAGGGCTTTGGTGAGGATTTAAATGAGCTTATGTTTATTAAGGTGCTCAAAACAGGGCTTGGCTGTTACCAGTGTCAGCTGTCATTTGTAGGGTATCACATCACTGTGTAAGTTGTATCATATATTTGGTAACGTTAGTGCCTCTTCTACTAGAGTACAAGCCTTAAGAAGCCATAGGCTTTGCTCGCGTCACCAACGTATCTTCGGTGCCTGGGACAGTGCTTGGTGAAGTAGGAATAAAAATGGCAGGCTACATAAAGGAAAAAGAGGGGCCCCTATAAGATTTAATTAGTCATCAGATACTAGTCATAATTTAACTGATGACGTTGAAATGGTACTATGTAAAATGGTACTCAGTATAATGTTATATTAAGAAAAGTGTCTTTCCACCCCTGGGAACAAGCTAATGATTCTTGAAGTTGCTGCTCTCGTCCATAATTATGTTGCTGGTGGCATTGTAAATTGGTAGTCTTTTCTGTAATTTATCTGATAATACCTAGCAAGACAGAATTTGCCACTCTTTTTTAGCCTCAGTAAGGAAGGTCTTGGGACATGCTTGAAGAAAATTTGAAAGGAGAAAAATAGTATATTCATGAAAATGTGCCTCCCAGCATTATTTATAATAGTAAAAATTAGAAACAGCTTAATACTCTGTAATAAAGATACAATTAAGTAAATAATATAGATGTCATAGATGGGAAGTAGGAGTGTGGAAAATGGAAATGCATTAGGATGGAGGGATTTGCAATTACTTTTTTTAATGGTTTCTTTAATGTCAAAATAATATTGTTTTAAAAATTAGTAAACTTTTAAAAAATACACACAGAAGTACTTCTTTCAGACTATTAGAGCTCTTTGCAGCAGGCTAGAGAAAATTAACTGGCTCGTAGAGCCCGCCCCAGAATCATAGGTTTTCTCCTGCTTCCCTATTTCTGTGTTCTAAGAGCTCATATGCAGTCCTGCCTGGTCTCTTGTTGTGATACTTAGACAGCCTTGTGGGCATGATTTTCAGTATAAATTAGGGATTACTCATGCATATAAATTAATGAATCTTAAGCTCTTTGATTCTCTTTAAGAAGGAAGTATTCTTTGAAAGCATGACTTACCTGTATTTTGCCATGTATAATGTGCACTTTTGCCCAAATTTTTGAGGGAAAAATAAGGATGAGCATTATACATAGGCATAATCCGTGTATAAGGTGCACAAAATGTGGGTGCGCATTATACACAGCAAAATGTAATATGTTAAGATCAAGAGCAGTACTATCTGTACAGTCTTGTTTCTAGTCTTAGTTGTATTGTTCTAAGAAACATTTGTCTTAGTCTTGTTTCTACTTGTTTCTTTAATTGTATTTAAGGATTATCCATAAGGAGAGCTTCACCTCCTTGAAAATTAAAGTTTAGCAGTCCTAAACTAGTCCTAGTCCAAATGTCTGAATCGACATTCCCTCGACAAACTTCAAAAGAGCCTGATAGCATTCTGGTAGTGAAGATGGAAGGGAAAGAGGAGGCCAGTAATCAGGAATCCAGCCTCCACAGAAGAAGCTGCTACAGCCCCGAGACGTTTCGCCAGCGGTTCAGGCAGTTTGGCTACCAGGAATCCCCTGGGCCTCGGGAGGCTCTGAACAGGCTCCGGGAGCTCTGCTGGCAGTGGCTGAGGCCGGACGTGTACACCAAGAAGCAGATCCTGGAGCTGCTCGTGCTGGAGCAGTTCCTGGCCATCCTGCCAGAGGAGCTGCAGGCCTGGCTGCAAGAGCACCGACCAGAGAACGGAGAGGAAGCTGTGACTATGCTGGAGGAGCTGGAGAAAGAGCTTGATGGGCCAGCAGAGCAGGTAAGAAGACGTCAGTGGGGATGAGTGACCAGGCTGTGTCAGGAGCTCTGGTGAATCACTCGCTGGGGGTAGAGCTCTTGATCTGTACTCCCATTCAACTGGTTGTGTATAGGGGTAAATGCACTCCCAGCTGTGCCAGAAAATAGACTATGGCTGTTTCCCTCCCTTTTCCTGTGCCTCAAGATATTTTCTACATAGTTTCTTCCGTCTTACTTTATCCTGAAGTCTCAACCCAATTTCCTTCTTCAGCCCCAGATAACCTGTTCCCAGGTTTTTGGACAAAATGAAGACACCCTTGCAGAGAAAGTGGCAGCATGGGAAATCACACAGGAGTCACCATGTGGCCAGCTCAAGCCTGTGAAGAAGCAGCTGCAGTGCACATCCCAGGAGCCTCACCCCTCAAGACAGAACGGTGAGGGGCAGGATTTAGTTCCTGGTGTGGGGCAAAGGCAGCCTCTCCGCCAGCTGCACCCCTCTCAGCTGTTTTCTGCCAGAGGTCTCAAATTTCCCCCAGGCCTCCTCTTTACTGCGGGAATTTCTACCACTTATGTCATGCTAATGAACCTTCTCAGTATTTTGTTCTTGTTTCTTTCTCATAGATTCTTATAAAATCTGCAGATTTTTAAAATACTTGGCAACATCTCCATCAGGATTTTCAAACCTTTTTAAAGCAGCGTGACCCTTTCCTCAAATGACATTTACATGGTGGGCGTTCCGATATATAAAACAGATAAAAACACAGCTACTCTGACTGAGCAAGAGCAAACAGTCTCAGGCCACAAGGGCACCAACTTGGCCTTGTTCCAACCTCTGTTATCATCAGGAGCCCCCGGAAGCCCTTGTTGACCCTAAGGTCACAGTCTACACCATTAGTCTACATTATTTTTGTTTAACTTCTTGCTTAGTCACTGGTGAGATCCAGTATCAAAACTGCCATTTTGCTGGTACGATGACTTTGCTCTCTCTTAGTGCTATGAATGTGTTTCTCTACTTCCCATTCTCAACAGGCCTCTGTTGTTCTTTGCATCATTTTTACAGAAGTGCTCTAAAATGGCCGGCATAGCAACCTGTTCTTCCTTTGCAAATACTACAAAAATAAGTGCCGTGGGGAAAAAAGAAACGAACAAGGCACAATAAGAGGGATACATGAAATGGGGACAGGGTTTCATTAAATACGATGCTGGAGAAGGCCTCTCTGATGAGCTGACATTTGGGCAGAGACCTTCCTAGGTGATCATCCTCGATAAAGTGGGAGCCAGAGATGAAGAGGGAAACCCCACTTGAGGGAATCTCCTCTCCCCTACCACTGCTTCTGTATTCCCAGAGAGGCTGATCGGCTAAGCAAGGTTCACTTTTTCAAGGGAATTTTGATAAGAGACTACAGGAAAAAACAAAAAATATATAAAAATTTAGAGAGACGTTTAGAAAAGATTTCTCATATCTACTCCCAAGACGTTTATACTGAGCACTTAGCACCTCCAGTCTAGCAACTGCCTCAGCTTAACTAAGAGAAAAGTGGGAGTCTTTCCAGACTCCGTCAGGGTGGGACGCGAAACCATCCCAGCCTCAGCAGCTGTGCGTGGTGATGGCTAAAGAAATGATCAGCCACAAAGCCAGGGACTGGGCACTTGTTGTTGGCAAGAACCACATTCTACCTGTGACTGTCCTCAAAGATGCATAGAGATTTGAAACCAAAAGCAGAGGGCCCAGGATCTTTTAATTCAAGGTAGAGAAAACCAGAGTCATGATAGGCTAACAGAACCACCTCTTACGGCTGCTGTGTGATTTCTGTGGTACAGAATCATGTCATAGCAAAGCCTCTGCAGGTGATCATGGTCTCCCTGCTCTCAAGCGCTAACTGTTGCCAGGATAGTGGTAACTAGATATTGAGGTCACCTTGGAATTTGAGTTTCTTACAATTAATAAGATAGATTATTTCTATTTAAAGCAGTAATAATGCTACTCAACTAGCACTATAAAATACATAGAAGAGTAGAGGTTTTCTTGTGGTGGGCACTCTGTGCTACCCTGGATTTCGTGAGGTGTTATCCTAGTCTGTATTCTCCCACCACACTTTTTTTCTTTTTGCCTAACTTGAATTTTCTGACCTTATTTTCCACATTCCTTTTTGACCCCTTGGCTTTCTTCATCTCGTTCATTTGCTTAATTTTTGGTTCATTTCTCTTTACTAAACTTTGTTTTGTTGATTGGCACTCTTGTTTATTACTACGTACTGCCACATTTGAGTCCTCTCTTTCATTGTTTCTGTTTCTCCAATAATTCCTCCTATTGAAGCGCTTTCTTTTCATTTAGACTTTCCTCAGTCTCTGACATGTCCGTTTCCCCTCCTCACCATTCTATCTTTTATATAGAGCTTTTCATATTCCTACTTGATTGCCTCCTCAGACTGTAAATTTTTCTCTTGCTTTATGATCTGAGTATTTTCTGTTTTACCCTCTCTCCATCCTCCACATTGTGATGTTATTTTATAAACATGCTAGCTAATAAATGATCCATTTGTATTTCATTTGGATCATTCTATTTTATTTTCTTTCCAGAGACTAGTGACATTTGCTTTTCTGTGTATTATTTCAGATAAAGACACTAGAACTGTAAATGTGAAATCAGCTTCAAAGCAAAAGACCTCTTCGGACATAGAACTGCATTACGATGTTTCTAACATGCTTCATATGAATACTTCCCAGAGTTTCACATCTAGAGGAACTGGCGAACAAAATGGCATGTTTGAAAGAAAACATAGAAATCCTTCTCGAAAAAAACAACACAAGTGTGATGAATGTGGCAAAACCTTTAGTCAGAGCTCAGCCCTTATCTTACATCAGCGAATCCACAGCGGAGAGAAACCTTACGTGTGTGATGTGTGCGCAAAGGCTTTTAGCCGAAGTGCGGTCCTGATTCAGCATCGAAGAATCCACACCGGGGAAAAACCTTACAAGTGTCATGAGTGTGGGAAAGCCTTCAGTCAGAGCTCGAATCTTTTCAGACACAGAAAAAGTCACACTAGAGGAAGAAGTTCCATCAGTATTGCGAGGGAATCAAAGCATTTACTCAGAACTTTTTCAACCGAGGAAGAAGAAAAAAGGCACAAACAACTTCTCAATATAGATCAGTGGTTTTAATGAGCACCAGTTTTCTTTCGAAGGCCATAAAAGCCACAGGAGACAATATAGACTATCTTATGTGTGCATTGTTTGCTTTTCTGCTTATCAATTCAGTGTCAATTCAGATGTTTAAGATTCTAAAGCTTAATTGAGATTTCCATACCTAGGGTAGCCCTCAAAAAGAAATTCCCAGACATTTTTTGCTATTACTGCTCTTAGCACAAGTGATAAATAGTACAGTTGACCCTTGAACAACACTGGTTTGAACTGCACAGGTCCGCTTATATGTGGATTTTTAAAAATTAATATACAGTTGGCCCTCTGTATCGGGTTTTCAACCAACCACAGACTGAAAACAGTATTTTTGATCTGCATTTGGGAGTCTACGGATGCAGAGGGCCAATTTTATGCATTGTTCTACACCATTTTATGTAAGGGACTCAAACATCTGCAAATTTGGATATCAACTGCGGGTCAGGGATGGGGTAGGTCACCCTGGAACCAGTCCTCCGCAGATACTGAGGGACAACTGTATGTTTCTTTTTGGACAAGTACATTTTTCCTTCTGAGAAGGAAGGTGAGTTACTCAGCATAAAAATAGACATCCTCTTCCATTTCATGCCATTGAGCTTTGGAGTTCTCAGACCAAAGATTAAAGCACTTTAAAAAAATTTTCCCATTTTGTTTTCTGTTACCAGATCCCAAATATGAAAATAGGATTGAAGAGGTCCAAAAGAGTATGTACCTCAAGACCTAGGCTGAAATGTTCCGGGTAATTGTCAGGAGGTAGGCGAGTGAAGGGACTTAATTTTTTATGAAAACTTACAAAAGCCTACACATTACTGATAAGACTTAAGAAATTTCCTGTGTAGGAAAACAAATATTCTCCTTTACAATGTAATTTGGAAATAGCTCAGTAAAAACATTAAGATGACTCTACATGTCTTCAGGGAGTGGCTTAAACATAAGGAATGTTCTGGTAATGTATTGCATTGTCTATGAGTGCTTATGTAAGGTTGGTGATCATCTTAATATAAAGGAAAAAGGGAGATGAAGAAAAGACTGTCCAAGAAGACTGACTGATGTAACACAAATGTCGGCAAGTGCGGTGTGTAACAAAGTGCACCAGAGCTTGCCCAGAAAGAAAACCCTTAACAGTAGATGACTATCCTTCAAGGTTCTTCCTGGCCCTTTTCTGGGATAAATTAATTGTGAACATGTTTCAGTCATCACAAGGCAGTCTTTTCAGGTCGTATGCATTCTTAATAAGGTGAGTTTCTAGACAAGCTGTCACAAAGTGAGACCCTGGATTTTGATGTTCTTGTACTAATGAAACCACTAAAAACAATTCAGAGTTCACCAAAGCGTTATCCGTATTCAGTCAGATTCCCTGTTTAAATACAAAATGACTGATTTTTATGTTATTAAATTATACTGACAGTATACAACATAATTTCCCCTTCTCTAGGGATTCTTGGTAGGACTATGTATTACAAGAATATATGCATTATTGTGTTTCCCATGATGCCACAGTTACCCATCATGGAGGCAAACGAGAAGCGAGAGTCCTTGGAATGAGAAAAGAAGAGGGGGCTTATAGTGAACTTCTTTGTCTAAATGGTTTCCTCATGAAGTATTAACATTTCATTATCAGGAAACCTAACTATATCTAGTGTTTAGATTAACTCCAGAAACAATCTTGGGATTATTGTGCTCTGCTTAGTTACTATATTAATAAATATAAGATTAGTAGCAGTAGAAAAAAAATGTAAATTTTTAACTAGAATTTTCTGATAGTGATTCTATTTTATAGTTCTAGGGAATATGAATATATATTGGGTTTTGTATATTTTCCATTATTAAAAATGTTGGGAGTCTTTATTTGGTCCTAGTTCTCTAAGTAAAGAGAGGAATAAAACATCTGTTACAACATCAAATGCCTGAGAGAGGTGTATATTGTGAATTACTGCTCAGTTATGGAAAGACAGTTTCTGAGGCACTGTGTGAATAAAATGACAATCTAAATCAAGTATTCTGAGGGAAGTGTCTGTGTTCACCTGGTGCTCGCACAACGGCAAAATTGCATTCTCTTCATTGTGGATAAACTGAACTTCTCCACCAGAGAGTGATGTGAATCATACTATCTAAGTACATGATGAATCTTTAAATGGTATTGCTGTGGACTTGGAGCTGTCTTGCACTTACAGGGGTCTCCTAATAAGTAGAAGATACTAGTTTATCTAAATGGAGAATTACTATGACTTGAGCTGATCTTGATGAAAATTAGCATGATATTATTACCACATTAGATTGATTTATTTTCACAGCAAATAGTATGGAGTGAAATTGGTATTTTTTTAATTAATTTCACTTCAACTGGGCCTTCAATATTATATCTGTAATCCAGTGTTCCTTCTTTATCTCATTCCCATTCTTTGTTGTTGTTGTTGTTGTTATTGTTGTTTTTATTATATGCATTTTAATTTATTTTTTAATAATATTTTTTACAATTTATAAATCATGTTTATTCTATTACAGTTGTCTCAGTTTTTCCCCCTTTACCCCCCCTCCACCCATCCTATCCCCACACCCCGTTCCCACAGTCAATTCCCACTCTGTTGTCCATGTCCATGGGTCATTCTTACATGTTCCTTGTCTAGTCCCTTCCCCTTCTTTCCACCATTGTTCTCTTTCCCCATCCCTTCTGGTCACTTTCAGTCTGCTCCATGTTTCCATGCCTGTGGTCTATTTTGTTCGTTAGCTTATTCTGTTGAATAGATTCCACTTATAGGTGAGATCACATGGTATTTGTCTTTCACCAACTGGCCGACTTCACTTAGCCTAATATTTTCCAGTTCCATCCATGTTGTCGCAAAAGGTAGAAGTTCCATCTCTCTCTCTCTCACTTTCTCTCTTCCTTCCTTCCTCTCTTTCTTTCTTTTCTTCCTTTCTTCCTTTCTTTCAGTGCAGATTGATTTTATTTTTTAAACATCAAAGTTAATTATAAAATATTAGAAAATTTAAAACCATTATAGAGTCTCAGCAATTAAACCAACATGACACCAGCACAGAAATAATCAAGTAGATCAATGAAATATAATGAGCATTCTAGAGACAAATGTGTATATCTGTTTAACATTATAATATATGATTAAATTGATATTTCAAATCAATGGGTAAAATAAGCATTATTCAACAAATGAGGTACATGGACCTCTATTACTTGAAATAAAACAAATATGGACCCCTATTTCACACATTATACAAAAAATATTCAGGTGAGTTAAAAATCAATATGTAGAATCTAAGCTGTTTTAGGAGAAAATACAAACTAATATTTTTCTTACCCTGAAGTAAAATATTGACAATATGACTATATTAAACATGTAAGACTGTACAGTAATATACATATTAAAAAGTTAAAGGACAAGTAATAGAATAGGAAAGTATTTGCAACACATCTAAAAAAGGATTAATGGTTTATTTTGTGTTTTTTTAGGGAAAAAATTCTACAAACCTTTAATCAAAAAATGGATTAAAAAATACCAAAAAGTCATTTAAAATTTTTTAAAAATAATAGAAATAGGCATGAAATATACAAAAACAGGTTTCATTTCAACATAATAAAGGAACAATTAAAATAACATCATTGTCACAATCAGATTAATAAGTATTAAAAAATATTGGTAATATCAAGTATTGGGAACTGTGAAAGGAACTGGATATTCATAGACTCTTTTTCTTCATCGTAAAGCAGTCCCTTTAGCATATTTTGCAGTGCTGGTTTGGTGGAGGTGTATTCTTTACCCTTCTTTTGTCTGGAAAACTCCTTATTTCGCCTTCCATTTTAACTGAGAGCCTTGCTGGGTAGAGCAGTCTTGGTTGCAGGCCTTTGCTTTTCATTACTTGGACTATTTCTTGCCATTCCCTTCTGGCTTGCAGTGTTTCTGTTGAGGAGTCAGCTGCCAGTCATATTGGGACTCCCTTATATGTTACTACCTGTTTCTCCCTTGCTGCCTTTAGGATTCTCTGTTTGTCTTTGGTATTTGCCTTTTTAATGATGATGTGTCTTGGAGTGGACTTCATTGGGTTCCTCTTGAATGGGACCCTCTGTACTTCCTGGACTTGTGTGACTTTTTCTCTTCTCCAATTAGGGAAGTTTTCCATCATTACTTTTTCAAACAGGTTCTCTATCCCTTGCTCCTCTTTTCTTTCTGGTATCCCTATCATACAAATATTATTATGTTTCAGGTTGTCCTGAATTTCCCTCAGTGCCTCTTCATTCTTTTTGAGTCTTTTTTCATTTTCTTGCTGTTTCTGGGAGCTTTTTTCTATCTTGTCCTCCAGCTTGCTGATTCAATCCTTGGCTTCATTTAGCCAGCTTTTGATTCCTTCGACTGTGTTCTTCAATTTAGAAATTGTATTCTTCATTTCCTCTTGTCTCTTATTGATAGTTTCTATGTCCTTTTTCATGCTGATATAGTTTGCAGTAAGTTCCTCATAGTTTCCCTGTAGTTTTTGGTAATTCTCTCTGAGCTCTTTGAGCTTCCTTAGAACCATTGTTTGGAACAATATCTGATAGTTTACTTGCCTCTATTTCATTTAGTTCTCTTTCTGGGGATTCCTCCTTTCCTTCGTGTGTGTGTGTGTGTTGGGCGGAGGGGGGAGGGGTATTTCTTCGTCTTCCCATTATTTGTGAGACTTCTTTTTTGCTTCTGCTTCTTAAGTTGATCTGTCTTGATTTCCTGACTTTGTGGTGTGAACTTCTATGGTAGGAGACTACCGTTTTTAGTTTCTGGATCTGCCTCTGATGTCAGATGTCGTCCCTGTCTGACCTTAGGCAGTCTGTTCAAGACTTCCAGGAATCCCCTGTTTGTGGCTTTCTCCTTCAGCTGTTAATCTACTCACTCTGCACTCAGCAGGCTGCCTTAGACAACTCAGGGCAGGGCGGAGTCCCTCCTTGGGTCGGGGGCAGGGTGGTTATTGGGTCCTCTCACGCTGCTGACGTATGGGGGAGGAGTCAGCTCTGGGATCCTGCCAGCTATTCTCTGTGTTCTCTCCCCAAAGCCTCAGTCCCCAGTCTCTCCTCAAGTGTCTCCAGACCTCTCTGCACCCCCTTTAGCCAGGGATCTACTATCTGTGGCTGCCATTCTGCACTTAGCAGGCAGCTTAAACAGCACAGGGCGGGGTGGAATCCCAACTCAGGGTGGGGCTAGTGGGTCCTTTGACGCTGCTGCCGCCCAGGGGTGTGGTCTCTGCCTGATCAAGATGGCCGCTGCCGCATGGGGGATGAGTCAGCACAGAGATCCCGCTGGCTACTTTCTCAGTTCTCTCCCAAAGCTTCCTTTCCCAATCTCTCCTCAGGTGTCTCTATCCCACTCTGCCCCCGCCTTTGCCGGAGACCAGGGTAAGTGGCTGCAAATAGAAATTTATGCATTGGCCCTTTAAATGGTTCTTTAATTCTCTAGTCGCCTGTCTCTGGCAGAGAGCAACCCTGCTGCTCTTCACAGCTGGCTGTTTTCTGTGTACTTTTTGGGCTCTGGTGCTGTGGGCTAGAGATCCCCGCTTTTGGTTTAGACCCCGCTCTTCTCAGGGGGATCCAACTAGCCATTTCAATATCCTTCTGGTGCTGCCACCCGTGGGCCCCCCACCCGCCTTCTCGAGTCTCTACCGCACTCCTTATCAATTAGATTGGTTATGTTTTCTTGTTATATGTCTGGTAAAGTGTTTCTAACCTCTAGAGGGAAAGCAGCAGGTCAGATGTGGATTGGGAAGAATGTTGGGTCAAC